ATAGGATTTATAATCATCTAGAAAGGAATAATTTGATTAGGGATAGTCAACACGGTTTTGTGAAGGGTAGGTCGTGCCTCACAAACCTTATTGCGTTCTTCGAGAAGGTGACCAAACAGGTGGACCAGGGTAAAGCGGTTGATGTGGTGTATATGGATTTCAGTAAAGCGTTTGATAAGGTTCCCCATGGTAGGCTATTGCAGAAAATACGGAGGCATGGGATTGAGGGTGATTTAGCGGTTTGGATCAGAAATTGGCTAGCTGTAAGAAGACAGAGGGTGGTGGTTGATGGGAAATGTTCATCCTGGAGTTCAGTTACTAGTGGTGTACCTCAAGGATCTGTTTTGGGGCCACTGCTGTTTGTCATTTTTATAAATGACCTGGATGAGGGCGTAGAAGGATGGGTTAGTAAATTTGCGGATGACACCAAAGTCGGTGGAGTTGTTGTTAGTTCGGAAGGATGTTGCAGGTTACAGAGGGACATAGATAAGCTGCAGAGCTGGGCTGAGAGGTGGCAAATGGAGTTTAATGCGGAAAAGTGTGAGGTGATTCATTTTGGAAGGAGTAACAGGAATACAGAGTACTGGGCTAATGGTAAGATTCTTGGTAGTGTGGATGAGCAGAAAGATCTCGGTGTCCATGTGCATAGATCACTGAAAGTTGCCACCCAGGTTGATAGTGTTGTTAAGAAGGCGTACAGAATGTTAGGTTTTATTGGTAGAGGGAATGAGTTTCGGAGCCATGAGGTCATGTTGCAGCTGTACAAAACTCTGGTGCGGCCACACTTGGAGTATTGCGTACAGTTCTGGTCACTGCATTATAGGAAGGATGTGGAAGCATTGGAAAGGGTGCAGAGGAGATTTACCAGGATGTTGCCTGGTATGGAGGGAAGGTCTTATGAGGAATGGCTGAGGGACTTGAGGCTGTTTTCGTTAGAGAGAAGGTTAAGAGGTGACTTGATAGAGACATACAAGATGATCAGAGGATTAGATAGGGTGGACAGTGGGAGCCTTTTTCCTGGGATGGTGATGGCTAGCATGAGGGGACATAGCTTTAAATTGAGGGGTGATAGATATAGGACAGATGTCAGAGGTAGGTTCTTTACTCAGACAGTAGTAAGGGCGTGGAATGCCCTGCCTGCAAAAATAGTAGACTCGCCAACTTTAAGGGCATTTAAATGGTCATTGGATAAACATATGGATGATAATGGAATAGTTTAGGTTAGATGGGCTTCAGATTGGATTCACAGGTCGGCGCAACATCGAGGGCTGAAGGGCCTGTACTGCGCTGTTATGTTCTATGTTCTATTAGTGTGATCGTTGAATAAAACTTAATTTGAGTTACGACATGAGCAGCAATGTGGGAGACTGGCCAGGTGTGTGCTGGAAAAGTCAAGTCCAGAGATACCAAAGCCATGTGTCTGTGTCAGTAGTAGATGAGCCGAGACAGTGACGTAGTTGAGAATCTTTGTCTTGTGGCACTGTGGATGAGATGCCAGGAGTTCATCTCTGGGTCAAATATCATACTAAGGTTGCAGATAGACTGGCCCAATCTCAAATTGTTGCCAGGGAGAAGGATGGAGTCAGTTGTTACGGAAGTAGTTCAACTTGAAGCAGCAGCTTGTGGGTTTGTGTCTCATTTCAGAGACTTGAACACAACAGCAATCATAGCTGGTGTACCAGTGCAGCACACTGTTGCTACCATTCAGTTGTGACTGCAACTTGAAACTCTTTTAACCTCCTCAATTAGATGTAAACATCCCTTGGCACTCTTCAAAGAAGAGCAGGGATATTCTCCCTGTGTCCAAAACAATATTAATCCCTCAATCAGCAACACATTTAAAAAGAAACCAGATTATCTAATAACTATGAAATTGCTGGATGGAACATCATGCTCTGCAGAAGTGAACCTCTCTGTTTCCCAGAACAGTGACTGTTCCAAAAATACTACAGAAGAGCTTTGGGCATCTCAATATTGTAAAATGTGTGACTATAAATGCAACAACTTTCTCTATAGTTGGGGATCATTAATGTTTGTTTTTTGTTGGTGAGGCGCTAAGTTAAGTGACATTTCCTGTTTAATTGTTAATTGAGTATTAGGCTGTAAGGGTAACTAGACTGATGATCAAATGATCTGGGGCATCATTATTCCTTTGCTAATGGTGATGCACAGATTGGAAATTTGCATAAATTATTTTTGAGAATCTTCATGCAGAACCTTTCCTTCGTGAGATTGAATGGGTGCAATAGATTTCTTGTCTAAATAGATTCTACAATGCCTGTGTGGAGTTAGGTGAACTGAATAGCCTTTTCTTACCCCATGGAGAAAACATTTGCTACTTTTTATTCATTTAAGGGGTATGGGTGATGCTGTCAAATTCACAACTTATTGCTGATTCCTAATCGCCCTTGAAAAGGCGATGGTGAATCACTAGTTGTACCAGATTGCAGTGGAATTGCTTGCCTCAAGGACATTAGCAAACCAGATGGGTTTTTAACCACAATCTGGTAGTTTCACAGTCACCTTCCCCGACAATAGCTTTTTATTGCAGATTTATTTAATTAACTAATTTTAGATTCCTCAGCTGCCATGGTGAGATTGAAATCCATTTCTCCAGATCGTTAGTCCATGTTCCTGGATTATGAGCTCTATAACAGTGCCACTATGCTTCTGCTCCTGATCGTAAATTGCATGTGCAATCCGGACTAATTGTTCATTTGTGACATAAATAGGGGCACATTGAAGCAATAGCAGATGATTGGAATGTTTTGGGCGAGGGTCTTGCCAGGAGGACAGTTTTTCTTCCACATGTCCATGTGCTACTCTATAAGACCCTATTTGGGGGTTGTAGCCAAGTGCATAGACCTTGGCATGTCTTTGTAACTGGCCACTGGGCAATCCTGCTGGAAATATTTGCTGCCAGTTTTTTCCTTTCTTCACTAAGTGCTTGGCTGATTGCCAACCCTTAAGGGCTCCCTCACTGAAATTCAGACTTTTCCATGTGTACGGTTACAGCCACAAGCCTGTCGAGCTGAAGCATGTTGGTACCTAGTTTCCCTCTATACTCGACACTGCTTCCAGAGAAGTAGTCTCTTTACTCAGGATTAGAGAGTTTTTGGAAGATTATATAAAGCAAACGTACTTTTCTTTATTCACTGATCTCTCAGTCTTTGTAAATGCCACATTTTCAATGTAATTGTAATTGTAATTTAATGCAAATTTATGATCTTGTATTTTAATGTTGCACATTTGCTGTCTTTAGAGGATGAAAGTAATCTATTCTGCTGTTGGAATTTAAAAGAATTATTTAGAAACCAGATCAATTCTTAAGACTGTTTGGCTATAATGCATCATGTTCTAGTCACTCAGTTACTGTATTTCAAGACTTTTTTGAGTGGGTGAATGGTGATTTGACTTGAGGATGCAGTGTTACATGGCCCTCTACTGGAATCACATGCCATGTGCTCAATATTTGCTTCAGATGGTTTGTTTTACTCACTTACTCCTGGCCAAGATACAGTTCCACTGGCACCTCATTCACATTTGTGCCTGCATCCACATAGCTGCTTCTCGAGTGCAAATCTAAACATTGAGTGTAGGCAGGCTGTGGAAGAGGTGGGGAGTCGAGCCTGATCCTATCTGCTCATGTGCGGCAGGAGTGATCACCTAAAGTCAGTCAAAAGCAGGAAGTCTAACTGAATTGTTTGCTTCCCTGGTCCAAGGCTGTCAAAGCCAATTGTAGTTAACCCACTCCCACAAACTCAAGACTGGCAATCTATCCCAGAACCTATGTGGCTTCATGTGCAATAGGTGATGACAGAAAAGCAGCTACTTAAAGATTATGAACAAGACCAGATTGACCCATTTAGTGTGTTCCCTTTTTTGATTGCCTGTGGGTTTTGTTTTGCACACAGCAATCCCAGTGTCAGCCCCAAGCAAGTGGACAGTCAGGTTATTACAAAGGCAGCTTCAGAAACTTAGTGCAAAAGTGTAACTTTCCTGCTTCTGACACCAATGTACCTGCAGTCTTTCCAGTCTGTTTTGAAATTGGGAATATTTAATTGTATGTGGGCTCATGCCAAATGTGAAAGGTCGAGGTACTTCATTGGTCCTTGAAATCAATTGAGAGACTTCATTCCATCGAACTGAATAGAAAAGATGTTGTTAAATTTGAAAGGGTGCAGAAAAGATTTACAAGGATGTTGCTAGGGTTGGAGTGTTTGAGCTATAGGGAGAAGCTGAACAGGGTGGGACTGTTCTCCCTGGAGCTTCGGAGGCTGAGGGGTGACCTTAAAGAGGTTTATAAAGTCATGAGGGGCATGGATAAGGTGAATAGTCAAGGTTCCCTCTCTCCACGCCCCCCCGCCCCCCGCCACAAGGAGAGGAATCCAAAACTAGAGGCCATAGGTTTAAGGTAAGAGGGGAAAGATTTAAGAAGAATCTAGGGGGCCACTTTTTCATGCAGAAGGTGGTGCATGTATTGAATTAACTTCCAGAGGAAGTGGTGGACAACATTTAAAAGCCATCTGGATGGGAATGTGAATAGGAAGGGTGTGGAGGGATATGGGTCAAATGCTGGCAAATGAGACTGGATTAATTTCGAATATCTGATTGGCATGAACGAGTTGGAATGAAGGGTCTGTTTCTGTGCTGTATGTCTCTATGACCAGGTTCAAACTGAAGTTCTGGGTAAAATGACACGTCCAGTTCCCCTCATTTATTTTCTTTTTTAATTTAAGCAATTTCTCTGTGATATATAACTAATATTGTCAGCTGGTATCTATGTCCCTCAAGTCACTCTTTATTTTAGTTCGACCTGTAAAGAAATATAAAAATATAAACAAAAAAAAACTTGTTACTCTGAACAATGACATTGACTGTGTTGCCTTAACAGCTGGAAGAACTTGTGATGTAGACGCTGCGGTTTTTAGAATAGAATATTATCTTCAGTGCCTTTTATGTTTGTTCCTCCATCTTTGAATAACACCGAATTATTTTTAAACAGGATGATGAGGAGGAATTCAACAACATTGCTGTCTTTTTCATTGGTACTGCTGCATGTTTGTATCAGGTAAGTTCCTAGTTACTGAACAATTTCAGGTGAACCTTCTCTTTCTTTTTGGGGGGGCAGCCAGGTGTCTGATGCATGTGAAAACGTGTCCTTATGTTCAAGACTTTGAACCAAGCTGTTGAGAAATCCCCTCGGCTAGAATGTCTGTTTTATTGAATACCATTAAGTTCTTGTTACCATTCTTGCCTGTAGCTTTGAAAAATATGTCTCGCATGGACCTGACAGAGTTAAATGAGAGAGTTGATGTCTTATTGAAAGTAAATATCAATTCCAGCTGCATCAGGATAGATTCAGTGTAATGAAGGGCAGGTGTAGTTCTAAAATATTTCTTTACGCAAAGGGCAATCAACAGGTTGGGCATGTTGCCAAGAGGAATAGATAATGTAGGACCTTTCTGACTAGCTAGATGTTATAACGAAGAAATGAATAAGGATTTTTGTTTTGGAAGGATGAGATTTAAAATGTCCAAAGGATTGCTGTAATTGTAAGTGCAGTTTACAACGTTATTAGATCACTTATTCTAATCTGTAATGTATACTTCCAGTCAGCAAAACTTCTATCAGCAATACCCTTGGTCACTTCTTCGAAGATTTTGCTATTGTCACCTATATTGAACTTTGTTTTGCTGCACAGGAGTGGTACAAATAGGAAGCAAAGTGGAATATGTGTTAACATAGCCCGATGCCTTTCACATCCTCAGTGTCCCATCCAGAGTGTGTAGCAGCTAATGAACAACTTCTGTGGTGCACTGATTCTGGCTGGGTGAACACAGCAGCCACCTTCCAAGCAGATTTTCAAATCTTTTCCTCGTGATATTCTCAGGTACCTGTGGTAAATTATACTAGGCAGGTTCCTGTCAAACTCTGATTGTCTTTAACCTAGAGATAGGTAGGTTATTGATTAGTAACAGGATTGAAGGTAATGCAGAGAAGGGAGGAGAATGGGACTGAGAAACATACTAGCCATTGCCGAATGGCTTAATTCTACTCCAATATTTTACAGTTTTGTTATGGTCTTACTGTTTCCTTGTGTGGTTGTCCATGTTCTGTAACATGAATTGATGTGAGGGTGAGGCAGAAGTAGTGACTTGGTTAAACCAGGACCCAAATGCATTTTAGGAAGAGTTTTAGGAAAGTTTTGATTTCTTTTTAATTGTGCTATTTGAATTGTAACTTTCTGCTATCCAACACGGCAGTAAATAATACAGTGGAAGTGGTGCTGAATGTTGAGATTCAGCTGTAGTTTGGAACAAAAATGCATCAGGCATACTTGTGCTCAACTGTGCAATGCAGAAAGAAAAAAATTAATGTCATGTTCTGTCCAACTTGACCCATGAGTAAAATCTGACTAAAATTCATGCAGCTGACCTTGCAAATGATTGATCCTGTGTGAGATTATGCTATGTGAAGCCTGTTTACCTCCCGTCTTCCAAACCTGACTCGCTGCTCCTGCTTAGAATTTGCAGTTACGTCAAACATTTTTTCAATTGTTTATTTTTACCTATTAAAGTTTTGAAAAGTTTAAATCAAGGCTTAAATTAATTAAGTAAATTAAATAAATAAAGCTTAAATAAATTTCTCTAGTGTAAGCATATTCAGCTACTTCAGTCTCTCCCTGCAATTGAAGTACCTAATTTTTGGAATAGTTTCACCTCTTTTTAGAGTTGTGTTTTAAATTAGTTGATAATTATTCTCAGCTAGATAAATGAAAGTGCTGTTTCTTACTGGTGAAAGCCCAGTTGATGTCATGGATTGGAGGTCTGCTATTACACCAGGTTTATTGTATCTGAATTAAATCTTCAAAAAATGTTTCTCTTTAATCTCTGTTTTCTTGTTTTCAGTGTTACCTTCTAGCATGTTACAGCGGACGGAGGAATTTGAAATCTTTTCTGATGTTTGGTTTAGTCTGCCTGTGCAATCTGTACCTGCATGAACTTCGCAATACCTGGCAAATTCTGTTTCACGTCACAGTGGCTGCATTTGCTACTCTGCAGACACGGATGAGGCAGCCACAGGGAAAGGCACCAGACTACAACGTGTGACAGTCTGTGACTGTGGAAAGCAGCTGTTTCAAGAGATTTATGATTCTGCAGGAAGCACTTGATAGTGTGGAACAAATAATTCGCTTCTTTATACAAAAAAAGGGACAAGAAATGGGCCAAATGGGGAAAAATGTATTTGAATTCCTCAGAAGTGTTGTGACAAAATGATGCCATTCTGAAACTGATTGCTACAAATCAAAATTGTGAGGATGAATTTCTGCTGTCGGCCCATTCATGTCTCATTGTTGCAATCTATGTATGAACAGTGACCTGTTTCAGCATGAAGCTAGAAAATCGTGGATATTATGTTAATTCAGTCCAGACAAAGAACTACTGTGAAACTTCCCCTTTCCTTATACTGAAATTTATTTCCGTTCTATTTTTCTGTTCAGAAGACATTTATCAGGGTATGGCTCTGTTGGCCCTGGCACCTTTGTCGCCTTAACCTTAATTAAGCAGCCATTCTTTGTGTGTGTGTGTGTGTGTGTGTGTGTGTGAGAGAGAGAGACAGTCCTGTAAGTGTTGCGTTAGAAAGTTGTCCTTTGTGTCCTTGGCCAGAGATGCTAACACATAGCGAGAGACTGCAGCACCCTCTGAGGATGCTGACTCTCTGTTGAGGTGTCTTCGTCCGTTAGTGCTCATGATAGGTCCCCATGCTAACCTTGGCATGTCCCAGCTACCATTTATCCCTCACCCACCCACCACTTTCCAGCCAGCTACCAAGTCCATTCCTCTTTTTTTTTTAAAAACTTGCTTTCTTTAGTTCTGACCCTTCCTGAATGTTTCTTAAATCCACAGTCAAGTGGACCCACTGTCAGGCCTCCTTGTCAGTGCCAGTTTGGAAGGCTGAGGACAAGTGCTTATTGCACCCCACAGTTTTTATTTTGCATTGACATGCACTTATGAAGATTCTAGCCTTTGTTTCAGGACTTGCCTTTCTGAGTTCAAGGTTTTAAACTTGTGAGCAATCGCAGAAATGAATCTGCTCTCTCCAGCCCATGGCACAATCCCTTCCTACACCTGCACACTGCGCCTCTGTTACTTGTCAGGTTCTAGGTTCATTCGATCAGATTTTGATAGTTTTGGGAGAGAATTGGGCTCTTTTGGGAAACATATCATACGTGCAAATGTCTGTATACAGTGTGTGAACATGTTCCAAACTTTTGTAGAAAATTGGTAAGAAATAAAATATCTAAGATATATATTTAGAGAAACTAGTAATCACAGATGTTTTCTCCAGTAAAAATACGTTGAGGTCATCTTATATATTTGATGAAGGCTGCAGTATGGTAATTCTTATTAAATAGCAGTTCTTCACTTTAAAAAAAAGAACAATGCATGCCTACATCTGTATTCTAAATAAAACTAGAATGTTGCTGGAAATACCAAGCAGATTTTCAGCAGCTGTGGGGTCAGAAACAGAGCTAAACATTTTCAGGCCTGTACCCTTTCACAACGACTGCCAAAGCTTGGCAATGAAAGATTGAAACAAGTAGTTATTTCCTAACCCTTTTGGATGCAAATTTACGTTCCACAGATATTTGCTGTTTCTGGAATTTTTTTGCCCCCATTTGATGTTGGAAGGCATGGATATATCTGTGGCTCATTTTCCCACAGTCCAAATTATAGAAAGCAGTGGGTTGAGGCAACAGCCACTTTGGTGACAGAGAAGTAACTTGAAAATAACGTTGGAAAAAAATTGGTTAATAAAGGAAGCAGCGATTAGTCAGGACATCCCCTGACAATGAGCGATTTAGTATGCCTTAGTGATAATGTCACTAGACTAGTAATCCAGAGGTCCAGGCTAATGCTCCAGGGACATGCGTTCAAATCCCACCATGGCAGCTGTTTGTTTTTTTTAATTCATTTAAGGATGTGGGCATCACTGGCTAGAGCAGCATTCATTGCCCAGCCCTTATTAAGAGTCAATCACATTGCTGTGGATCTGGAGTCACATGTAGGCCAGACCAGGTAAGGATGACAGATTTCCTTCCCTGAAGGACATTAGTGAATCACTGGGTTTTTGACAATCAACAATGGTTTCGTGGTCATCATTAGACTCTTTATTCCAGATTACCTTTTGAATTAAAGTTATAATATGTCCATATTACAGAGGAGGAGGTGCTGGATGTCTTAAAAAACACAAAGCTGGATAAACCCCTGGGACCTGATCAGGTACCCTAGAACTCTGTGGGAAGCTAGGGAAGTGATTGCTGTGCCCCTTACTGAGATATTTGTATCATTGATAGCCACAGGTGAGGTGCAGGAAGACTGGAGGTTGGCTAACATGGTGCCACTATTTAAGAAAATTGGCAAGGAAAGCCAAGGAAATAGAGACCAGTGAGCCTGACATCAGTGGTGGGCAAGTTCTTGGAGGGAGTCCTGAGGGACAGGATTTACATGTATTTAGAAAGGCAAGGATTGATTAAGGATAGTCAACATGGCTTTATCTTTGAGAAATCATGTCTCACTAACTTGATTGAGTTTTTTGAAGAAGTAACAAAGAGTATTGACGAGGGTGGAGCAGTGGACGTGATCTACATGGACTACTGTAAGGCGTTTGACATGTTCCTCATGGTAGACTGGTTAGCAAGGTTAGATCACATGGAGTACAGGGTGAACTAGCCATTTGGATACAGAACTAGCTCAAAGGCAGAAGACAGAAGGTTGCTTTTCAGACTGGAGGCCTGTGACTAGCAGTATACCACAGGGATCGGTGCTGGGTCCACTGCTTTTTGTCATTTATATAAGTGATTTGGATGTGAGCATAGGAGGTATGATTAGTAAGTTTGTAGATGACACCAAAATTGGAGGTGTAGTAGACAGCGAAGGGAGGTTACCTCAGAGTACAAAGGAATCTTGATCAGATGGGCTAATGGACCAAGGAGTGGCAGATGGAGTTTAATTTAGATAAATGTGAGGTGCTGCATTTTGGAAAGGCAAATCAGGGCAGGACTTATACACTTAATGGTAAGGTCCTGGAGTGTTGCTGAACAGAAGTCTTGGAGTGGGTTCATAGTTCCTTGAAAATAAAGTCCCAGGTAGACAGGATAGTGATGGAGGTGTTTGGTATGCTTGCCTTTATTGGTCAGTGCATTGAGTATAGCAGTTGAGAGGTCATGTTGCAGGTATACAGGACATTGGTTGGGCTGCTTTTGGAATACTGCATGCAATTCTGGTCTCCGTTATAGGAAGAATGTTATGAAACTTGAAAGGGTTCAGAAAAGATTTACAAGGATGTTGCCAGGGTTGGACAGTTTGAGCTATTGGAAGAGGTTGAAAAGGCTGGGCCAGTTTTCCTTGGAATGTTGGAGACTGAGGGATGACCTTATGAAGATTTATAAAATCATGAGGGGCATGGATACAGTGAATCGTCAAGGTCTTTTCCCCTGATGTAGGGGAGTCCAAGATTGGAGGGCATAGGTTTAAGGTGAGAGGGGAACGACTTAAAATGGACCTGAGGGGCAACTTTTTTTCATGCAGAGAGAAGTGCGTGTATGGAATGAGGTCAGAGAAAGTGGTGGAGGCTGGTACAATTATAACATTTAAAAGGCATATGAATGGGTTTGTGGCTACATGAATAGGAAGGGTTTAGCGGGATATGGGCCAAATGCTGGTAGATGGGACTAGATTTATTTAGGATATCTGGTCAGAATGGATGAGTTGGAATGAAGGGTCTGTTTCCATGTTGTACAGCTCTGACTCTAGGAATTTGAATTCCACCATCTGCAACGATATGATTTGAACCTGGGTCCTCAGAACATTAGAGACAACAA